TTAGAATGATCATTCATTCGAAATTGCCTTTAAATGTAAATCACGCTGTACCGCTGAACTTCCACGATACGGCTTGAATAGGGTTGTCACCACTGAGCTATAATAAGAACCGTTGTCAATAGTTAGGCCTACCACAGCCACAAAGTCAAAATTGGCTATATCGTCAAATTCATGAAAACAAAAATTCGCTTTTTGGTCTTAATTTAAGGTTAGGGTTAGGCATAAGGTTAGCAGGGTGTTTAAGGTTACGATTAGGGTTAAGGTTAGGTTTAAAAACAGATTTTGGGGTAGAAATTGGGGGGTTTTATGACTTTGTGGCTATGGTAACCAAGGGGACAGTTCTAGAAGCACGGTTTCGAATGCTCCTACAGTTTTGCTTTGGTACTGCAGTTTAACTGACATCCGGCCCAGAAAGACAATTTCCATAGACTGCCACATACAGAAGTCAGATTTGGAAAATTCAGAATAAGACACTTTAGTCATCACCTTTGTGCACAAAACATCCATTGAATTATTCTAATAATTGTCACTAACCACATTTCCATCCACCTTTTTTAAGCGAGTAAAGTCATATCGTATAAAACAAAAAAAATCACTACAGCTGTGATGGAAACAGGAAGTTTCGGTACAATTGTATAAATGCCGACAGATAATTTGTTCGTTCGACATGGTGGGATCTTTTTGTGTCGGTAAAATTAATTATGCTGGAAATGTCTTTATGCGCAAATATTTATATAATAACCATCATATCGAAGTAAATTTGGAGTCACGCGATGATATGGTTTGTGGTCCTTTCACCACAACTCGGGAAACCATGACGTTTATTAGGCACAGATGAAATAAATTACGATGAACTTCATAAGGTGGTGAAAGTGCACGGTGATGAGCTTGATGCTGCTTTCCAATAAATATTGAGGGTCTTATTCTGATGAAATGATGATCGATGCATGACTACCATTTGACAAATAAAAATATTCTCGCTCTTATCCATAATAATCTCATCATGTAGACTAGAATAGATAGTATTTTTGTTGTCTCTTGGTATCTTTCCTATATATATATATATATATATATATATATATATATATACAGTGAGGAAAAAAAGTATTTAGTCAGCCACCAATTGTGCAAGTTCTCCCACTTAAAAAGATGGGAGAGGCCTGTAATTTTCATCATAGGTACACGTCAACTATGACAGACAAATTGAGAAAAAAAAATCCAGAAAATCACATTGTAGGATTTTTTATGAATTTATTTGCAAATGATGGTGGAAAATAAGTATTTGGTCAATAACAAAAGTTTCTCAATACTTTGTTATATACCCTTTGTTGGCAATGACACAGGTCAAACGTTTTCTGTAAGTCTTCACAAGGTTTTCACACACTGTTGCTGGTATTTTGGCCCATTCCTCCATGCAGATCTCCTCTAGAGCAGTGATGTTTTGGGGCTGTCGCTGGGCAACACGGACTTTCAACTCCCTCCAAAGATTTTCTATGGGGTTGAGATCTGGAGACTGGCTAGGCCACTCCAGGACCTTGAAATGCTTCTTACGAAGCCACTCCTTCGTTGCCCGGGCGGTGTGTTTGGGATCATTGTCATGCTGAAAGACCCAGCCACGTTTCATCTTCAATGCCCTTGCTGATGGAAGGAGGTTTTCACTCAAAATCTCACGATACATGGCCCCATTCATTCTTTCCTTTACACGGATCAGTCGTCCTGGTCCCTTTGCCGAAAAACAGCCCCAAAGCATGATGTTTCCACCCCCATGCTTCACAGTAGGTATGGTGTTCTTTGGATGCAACTCAGCATTCTTTGTCCTCCAAACACGACGAGTTGAGTTTTTACCAAAAAGTTATATTTTGGTTTCATCTGACCATATGACATTCTCCCAATCCTCTTCTGGATCATCCAAATGCACTCTAGCAAACTTCAGACGGGCCTGGACATGTACTGGCTTAAGCAGGGGGACACGTCTTGCACTGCAGGATTTGAGTCCCTGGCGGCGTAGTGTGTTACTGATGGTAGGCTTTGTTACTTTGGTCCCAGCTCTCTGCAGGTCATTCACTAGGTCCCCCCGTGTGGTTCTGGGATTTTTGCTCACCGTTCTTGTGATCATTTTGACCCCACGGGGTGAGATCTTGCGTGGAGCCCCAGATCGAGGGAGATTATCAGTGGTCTTGTATGTCTTCCATTTCCTAATAATTGCTCCCACAGTTGATTTCTTCAAACCAAGCTGCTTACCTATTGCAGATTCAGTCTTCCCAGCCTGGTGCAGGTCTACAATTTTGTTTCTGGTGTCCTTTGACAGCTCTTTGGTCTTGGCCATAGTGGAGTTTGGAGTGTGACTGTTTGAGGTTGTGGACAGGTGTATTTTATACTGATAACAAGTTCAAACAGGTGTCATTAATACAGGTAACGAGTGGAGGACAGAGGAGCCTCTTAAAGAAGAAGTTACAGGTCTGTGAGAGCCAGAAATCTTGCTTGTTTTTAGGTGACCAAATACTTATTTTCCACCATAATTTACAAATAAATTCATTAAAAATCCTACAATGTGATTTTCTGGATTTTTTTCCCTCAATTTGTCTGGCATAGTTGACGTGTACCTATGATGAAAATTACAGGCCTCTCTCATCTTTTTAAGTGGGAGAACTTGCACAATTGGTGGCTGACTAAATACTTTTTCCCCCCACTGTATATATACAGTACCAGTCAAAAGTTTGGACATATCTACTCATTCAAGGGTTTTTCTTTATTTTTACTATTTCCTACATTGTAGAATAATAGTGAAGACATCAAAACTATGAAATAACACATATGGAATCATGTAGTAACCAAAAAAGTGTTAAACATATCAAAATAGTCACCCTTTGCCTTGATGACAGCTTTGCACACTCTTGGCATTCTCTCAATCAGCTTCATGAGGTAGTCACCTGGAATGCATTTCAATTAACAGGTGTGCCTTGTTAAAAGTTAATTTGTGGAATTTCTTTCCTCCTTAATGCGTTTGAGCCAATCAGTTGTGTTGTGACAAGGTAGGGTTGGTATACAGAAGACAGACCTATTTAGTAAAAGACCAAGTCCATATTATGGCAAGAACAGCTCAAATTAGCAAAGAGAAACGACAGTCCATCATTACTTTAAGACATGAAGGTCAGTCAATCCTGACAATTTCAAGAACTTTGAAGGCCAACCGTTGTGTCAGTGAAGCGAGTCAGTATGGATTTAGCTGAGAAGCAACAGAACAGGGTTGTGTTCAGTAGGCCACATCATAGCAAAACGTTTTGCAACAGAACACAAAAACTGTGTTCCGTTGCAAAACAGTAACTTTGTTAAAAAATGGGTTTCTTCTGCCTACTGAACACGACCTTACATGACCCAAGAGAGGGATGTAATGTGAAGGGTGAACAGGTTTTGTTTTCCACCAGCCTCCCTCCCTGTCCCTCCCTCATCAACAACTGAACTGCTGCTTTAGCTCACAGAGAGCTTCATTCTAATTGCAACACTGGCGGGCTGAGCACTCTATTTACACAAGACCTGAGAGTTATAGTACAAACTCCATGTAACGTGCAGTGTGTACGTGAGAACATCCTCATCCCCAAGTTTAAAAAGTAACCAGCTGCTATTTTCATTTCGAGCCTGTGCCAGAGTTGAATTTGGTCATTGGTTATTCATTATTATAGCCACTCCCACCAACCTTTTGATTGACGGCTGAGTGGAAAACACAATATGCTGTAGGCATAGAAGACAGAAACTAAATACAGTTATGTCATTGCCTTCAAATCATTCATGATGAATTATCTTTCACACAAACCAGATAACAGAGACACAGGTAAATGCTCAATGGAATCGTGAATGAATGCCATGTACTGTATTCAATCTCCTAGGCTGTTAACTTTACTAATTTCAAGACTTTTCTAGATGTACAGAAAATGACTAAGCAAGTTGGAGCCTCAAAATTCCCCACACGAAATACAGATTTATTTTAGAGTATGTGTCCACAGAAATGACACTTCCGAAACATTAACGTTTTAAAAAACAGTTTATGAGATGTAGGACTCAGAATACAGACATTTGGTCATTTTTGTTACAGTTATTAAAAGGAAAGAGAATATCACAGTGAACTTCAGTAGTGCTCCCAAAACGTGGCATTCCAGCCTGAGACTGCTCAGATACTAAACAAATATAACATTTTCGCTACCCAACATATCAACTGTACAGATATGTATACAATCTCATACAATCTTATATACACATACGTGAGAAAATATGCCATCTGGGGCACAATTGCAGGAGAGATTTTAGAATGTCATAAAAAGAGATTTATAAAAAAGGTACAGTTAACAATAAGGATATCTGTGCAATAGGAAACAAAACCGTTACATTTGCTGTGCAAACTGCAAAGCAACTCAGTAAGACAACAATGGTTTAATGTCCTAGAACATCAGATGTGCCACTGCACTCCTCTCTGTACTCCTCCACCCCCTTCTGTCCAAGAACACTGTTCATGATGACGAGCACAGAATACATAGTTCCAGGGAATGGAATGAGATCCTCTCTCTCTTGGTCTGTCCTCCAGGTCCACATGACATCCATAGAATTAGAATGATCATTCATTCGAGTGGCGCAGTAGTCTAAGGCACTGCATCACAGTGCTAGCTGTGCCACTAGAGATCCTGGTTCGAATCCAGGCTCTGTCGTAGCCGGCCGCGACCGGGAGACCCATGGGGAGGCGCACAATTGGCCCAGCGTCGTCCAGGGTAGGGGAGGGAATGGCCGGCAGGGATGTAGCTCAGTTGGTAGAGAATGGCGTTTGCAACGCCAGGGTTGTGGGTTCGATTCCCACGGGGGTATGAAAAAATAAAAAAAATAATGTATGCACTCACTAACTGTATGTCGCTCTGGATAAGAGCGTCTGCTAAATGACTCAAATGTAATGTAAATGTAAATAGTTCCATGTCGACAGCAGTCACAGGCACACCCAGGCGTGGGTACGACTTGTGTCATTGAACCATTTCAAAGTAGTATAGTATGGCCATGATGTGCTGAGGCATGAACACGTACCCAGTGTACACCGCCATCCCTACTACAGATATCAGGATGGAGTCTGAGAAACAAGTTAAGGAAACTGACCAATACTTATAACTATTATAGGCTAATCCTATAGTATAAATAGGATAAGCAGGCCACAGGTTAGCCCATTCAAATAGACAGTAAATGTTATTACACATTATACCGTCTATTCACGAAGCAGTCTGCCGCCTGAGCGGATTTCGTCCATGCTCCGACACTGCCCAAATGCTCTGTCTAAATGCAAATACACCTCGGACCCGATACAGTTTTTAAAAACATTTGGAACGGCCTCCAGTGATTTTTGAACTTTTCCTGTTGAAAATTGACATCCCAAGTAGCCTATAAATACAGTAAAGTACACACACTAAAAGGTAAACAAAGACGTTGTGAGCAAAATTGTTTTTTTTAGACAACTGCAAAGTTCAAGGAGTAGGGCATTCAAGGAATTGGTCTGATCGGAATTTGTGATGTCATCGGCATTCCCCCTTGCTTGAGGAACAATAGAGCAGTGGTTCCCAAACTGTAGGGCGCGAGAGGTGGGCAGGGGAGGCGCCCCCCTCTTGAAAGTTCTATTAGTGGAATGCACAAGGTGCAATTTCTAAATTGGGTAGTGCATCATCAGTTCCTCTTGTCATGTTAGTCATTCCATACCTTAGAGAGCTTTTTATAACTTGTCAGAAATGTCCAGATCAATTAACCCATGTCATCTAACATTTTTTTATTTAGGTTTTTTAGCCCATAGATATCGTTGTAGTTTTTTTGTCTATGCTGCTCCAAATGAAATCAGTAGTTGGTTATATTGTTCATTAAACAGACAAGACACACCCCTTCAGTCAACACCACAGGAGGTTGGTGTCACCTTAATTGGGGAGGACGGGCTCGTGGTAATGTCTGGAGCGGAATTAGTGGAATGGTATCAAATACATCAAATGATTTCCATTTGTTTGATGCCATTCCGTTACTGCCGTTCCAGCCATTATTATGAGCCGTCCTCCCCTCAGCAGCCTCCACTGGTCAACACACATATTTTATAGGCCTACTAAGAATATAATGGAATATAACAGAATAAAATACAACACATATTTTTCCCACAACTTGTGTCACAGGAACGTGTGGAACCGCTGTCATATAAAAAAGTGATATTTTGAAACAGAGCCCAAGCCCATGCTTTTTTGATCCACGTTTCATCTCTTTCCTACCCTCACTCTGCTTTATTAGGGAGCAGGCATAGGGTCTTATCTTCATCATAATACCAATCCTATTTTCAGCATGTGAGTCTCATTTAGGCTATATTTTATATTTCCGCAGGCTTTTGGAGTTGCCTATGCGTTTGAGCAAAATAATAGGCCTACACTACATTATTGCATGCTAAATGTTTCTTATCAGTGATGGATGAGCAAACGAATAGAGCTATAGCCTACCACCTCCACTCATTTGCCCAGCCAGGAACCAATTAACCTATACAGACGGAGATTCAGTGGAACAAAATCACATTGATTGATTATCAGACAAGTCAGTGAAGTCACAGGCTTTTGGTCGGGAGTAGGCCTAGGCTACTAAGCGACTAAAGAGCAAAATAATCCACTTGGCCTAGCCTACATAACATGGCCTTGGCCTAGCCTACATAACATGGCCTTGGCCTAGCCTACATAACATGGCCTTGGCCTAGCCTACATAACATGGCCTTGGCCTAGCCTACATAACATGGCCTTGGCCTAGCCTACATAACATGGCCTTGGCCTAGCCTACATAACATGGCCTTGGCCTAGCCTACATAACATGGCCTTGGCCTAGCCTACATAACATGGCCTTGGCCTAGCCTACATAACATGGCCTTGGCCTAGCCTACATAACATGGCCTTGGCCTAGCCTACATAACATGGCCTTGGCCTAGCCTACATAACATGGCCTTGGCCTAGCCTACATAACATGGCCTTGGCCTAGCCTACATAACATGGCAAAATGTTCTAATAAATGACCTAGACAAGATGATCATGGGCAGCACTCACCTCAACTAAGATTTTCCCAGCGTAATTGTAGCCTAATCCAAACGGAAATTCAGGGAAAACAAAAATCGGACCTTTATTGATTTATCAAGATGGGTCCCCATGCTTGTCTCACGGTACGTTAGGCTATTATTTCAAATGTATTACAAGGATTGGATAACTTTGGGAGTTTCAGTAGTCTAAGCAACAATTTGATACATGCCTTCAATTGCATTAGGCTACTTTATTCCAATATTTCTGTCAGTCAGTGATATTTATTCCCACAGTAATTATTTAAGCATTTATCCAGTTGTGGCTAAGAAAACAGTGCATGCTTAGTGGTGGGCTACGCGAAGAGAACAGCTTAGTGACATGCCTTGCAAAGTTCAGAACCAGAACTTAGATGGTTAACGGGCACTGACTAGCAACCATCAGAGTTTAATAGCGTAGTGCGTGCCAATGCCACCTCAGCATTACGGCTGCGTTTCATAGGCTACTACCGTAGGAAGAACTTTAGTGATTACTAGGTCGTTTTGCGGACATAAAAGCTTCGGCGTTGATACCGGCAATACCTTTCAGATATAGAGAAAAGGCAGGAAAAAGTTGGCGGTATGATAACGTTGGCGGAAAAACGTCTTAGTAGCAGTAGCGGTGCATGTGTAAAATCACCAGGGAAGCCAGGACAACATATGTGTTGTTTGCTCTATAACCTGTTAATTCATATGCCTTGCGACCGTGATATATAGGCCTAAAGGCCGAGACAATAAGACAGTTGCAGAATCAATTCAACCACACCTTTGTTTTATGACAAAGTGAAGTCCAGTGAAGTCCACAAAGCATATTGCATGTACAGTAACAGACAGTTACTACAGCATGGTCAAGCAAGTTAATGTTTCCGACTTTTTCGGACCACTAAACAACTATTGATTTAGAACCACAGTTACCACAAGTCGCAAAAAAAACAGGAGCTACCTCCACTAGTCCAGCACCATTTCAACTTCAACATATTCAAATCCCCTCTGCGTAGTCTAATACAGTGACAACTAAAAGATACCAAAAACAATTTTGTCCAATCAATGAAAGCTAAATATGATGTGGCTGTCCATGGTTCTGATTTCTGTGTGTGTGTGATAACGCCAATGCCATCCTCCTCTCTTTCATGTTGACGAAACTGTCTATCACTCTGTCATACAGTACACACTTTTACTTTTTGTTGTCCTAGGCTACCTGGCTAAAATGCTTGCTCGCTAGCCTAACTTCCATGCATGGGCAACGTTAGCTAGTTAACATTATCCTTCTACATCTAGCTACATATTGAACTTCCATCCTCTCAGGCCAGGGGCACAACAATGTATGAATTAATGGTTGGATCAGAATCGCCTTAGACCACTCCTGAGTGGCACAGTGGTCTAAGGCACTGCATCGCAGTGCTAGCTGTGCCACTAGAGATACTGGTTCGAATCCAGGCTCTGTCGTAGCCGGCCGCGACCGGGAGACCCATGGGGCGGCGCACAATTGGCCCAGCGTCGTCCAAGGTAGGGGAGGGAATGGCCGGCAGGGAAGTAGCTCAGTTGGTAGAGCATGGCATTTGCAACGCCAGGGTTGTGGGTTCGATTCCCAAGGAGGGCCAGTATGAAAAGTAAAAAAATTATGTATGCACTCACTAACTGTAAGTCGCTCTGGATAAGAGTGTCTGCTAAATGACTAAAATGTAAATGTAAAATAATCATTGGACAGTACGGAGAATTAAGTAAAACCACTAGTCCAAATCCCTATCTCCATCCATGGCTAATTTAGGAAAGGGCCAATTTTAGCTAGCTAGCTAGCCACCGGAGGACAACAACACAACGAGATACATTTACATCATTTAGCAGACGCTCTTATCCAGAGCGACTAACACATTTTTTTTATGGGAGTGGGGGGAGGGGGAGGTAGAAGGATTACTTTATACTATTCCAGGTATTCCTTAAAGAGATAGGGTTTCAAGTATCTCCGGAAGGTGGTCAGTGACTCCGCTGTCCTGGCGTCGTGGGGGAGCTTGTTCCACCATTGGGGTGCCAGAGCAGCAAATAGCTTTGACTGGGCTGAGCGGGAACTGTGCTTCCGTAGAGGTAGGGGAGCTAGCAGGCCAGAGGTGGATGAACGTAGTGCCCTCGTTTGGGCATAGGGTCTGATCAGCTCCGTAGGCAATCACCATGGTCTTGTAGTAGATGCGAGCCTCAACTGGAAGCCAGTGGAGTGTGCGGAGGAGCGGGGTGACATGAGAGAACTTGGGAAGGTCGAACACCAGACGGGCTGCGGCGTTCTGGATAAGTTGCAGGGGTTTAATGATGCAACAATTCAAGTACTTGACGTATCCTCTCAATGGGATTTGATAGGAGTGACGCCAAAATCCAAGCTGGCTTCCCTATACACTTTTTTTTGGTGTGCCAGGACCATTCACAGTTGAGCTCGCTCAGTTCACCTCAACCCTGGTTGGCAAATTTTTTTAAAATTATGATGCTCGCTGGCTTCCCTTGCCTTCAATGCTAAGGGCGGAAAAAATGTCATACTCGTTTGGACCAGACAGCATCAGATAGATGGCCTACCTAGAGAGACAGAGGGGCGCTGTTTCGCTCGTCTCTGATGTTTTCTCCTGTGAGATACATTCAGCCTCGGGAATTGAAGGAAAATTATGAAACACAGACCGACGAAAGATAAAATAATTTATGTTTAGATTTTTTATATTGGGAAGACTGGCTTCCCTTGGCATCCATGAATACACGCCACTGCTTAGTAGGCCTATGAAAGGGATAATATCATTCTTCAGTCATAATTGTTCAGTGATGTGAACAAAATGTTAATTGAATAGGCATATCTTCCTCACCTCTTTTTGACCAGTTTCCAACTTAATTGAGTAACCTAACATAAAATCAGTCAACACCAATGACTGTATGAGGTCTACACATGCACTTTTTATGCCAGATAAAGCTGATGAAAATAATGAGACCAATAGTTGCATGCACGCGTTTAGGCCTACAGGTGAGATATGCAGCGTTCAAAACAACTGGGAACTCGGAAAAACGAGCTACGACTGGAAAAAAAACTTTTTGAACCGACATCCAACTCTGAATTACAAATCGGAAACTTGGGCATCTTTCTAGCGATCCCCCTTTGCGACCTGATCACTGACGTCAGGATTTTACCTCGTTTTATCCGAGTTCCCAGTTGTTTCCAAGTGGGAAACTCGGGCCTCCTCTTTCTACAACGAGTTTTCATGTCGGACATTACCGAGTTGTCCTGAACGCACCAACAGTAGGCTACACGGTGTCCTCCTAGGCAAGTAGCTATAGCCCTACTGTTATCGTTTCATAGTCTATTGTTCAGCAATAAAGGTTAACCAACAAATAGGCTACTTGCTAACTATTCGAAATTACAAGGCAAGGAGTTGTAGTTAGTTACCTATCCGGCTAAAATACCTAGTAGCCTAGTTATTTTCAAACCATTCTGGAACCAAAAAGGATACTGAAGATGGTTCTCTCCCAAGGCTCCAACATGTATAAAGCCGTGACGAGAATATACTGGTAATATAACCAGGATATTTTCTTCCAGATATCTTCAAACGCCATAACTTGAAGTTGTATTTATTCTGTCTTCTTTTTCGTAATCGACGATTATTTCCTGGTAAAACAATGGGCGGAATCGATTGTGTTGAACCGCGGCGCACCGACCTATGACCAGTGGCGTGAACGGGCAAACACCGTGAGGGAGGAGCGCCCTTCTCAAATCGAACAGTAGCCTAATCTGCGCCCCTCGGTCATGTTATCAACAAGGCAGCATGGTGCATCGTCCAGAAACATATCACATCTATTTTCCATTAAATATTGCCTATCTTTGAAATGTCTAACTAGTTTTCATTGGAAAGGCAGATATAGCGTTTTTTATCAAAAGCAATCATTTTTGCATGTGAAAACACAGAATCGACTCATTACTCAACGTGCTAATTACGTCCCTTTTGTTTTGAGCCGACTTTCCAGCGGGCTTTGAACAGGGCACCTGGCTCACATCCAGGAGGCAGCCTAGTTCCAAAACGAACGCAATCAACTGTCAACCGGTGCAGATTAACTCAGTGACGTTTTAATGTCTTTCTTTCTCTACCATTCTCGAATCACATGAAAAAGCGACGCGCAAAGGGCAGTTTCCACTTCCTGTCCTGACTCGAATCAGATTTCCAAACGGTTATTGCTAACCGGATTCCTTGGAACGTACATACCCTAACCTAAGACAGTCCAGTATGAAGATATACAAATCTTTGGTTCCAACAAAAAAAAAAACTATAAATACCATAGGGGTAAACTTAATATAAGGTTGGAGGCCAGTGGCTGTACAGCAAATCTTTACATGATAATACACCCCTGTATAATACCATAAAGATGTTGGCATGTGCATTCAGTCACCAAAAGTCTTATCAGGGATATCACAAAGGTCACATCAACGGTGTATCTTCAGCAGTGGCTGGCGAGGATGTTAAAAAAGTGGTAGACCTCGTCCTTATCGAGCACTGCCACCTCAGTGGAGCACTCTGTACACTGAACAGGATGGTAGATCTCCTCTCCGCCCATCCCCAACACCGCTCCTGAATCTGTGGCTTCAATTGCGGTTGTTGTTGATGCGGTTGGATCTGGTTGACGCCCTTTCCTCCTCTTTCTGCTCAGATTTCTCTCATTGAGTGTTTTATACCGTAAAATCTCCTCTTTGTTTACTGTACAATTCATGACAAACATGGCTCTGTATTGGGTCCTGTATTTGTCATGCCTGTAGACAAAAACAAACAAGAGGTCGTCTCAGACAAATCTTTCCCAAAATTGTTAAACCTTTCCAATTGTAGTGGGTTTGTTTGGCTGTGTAACATGCTGTGAGCTCGGTTCAAGACTATATTCACAGCCAAATTAACTCTTTATTTCCTACCTTTGACAGTCGAGGCACAGGGTGGTCATGCATGCTGGGCAGTTAAGGACAGCATCGCTGCTTGGAAGCCCCTGGGACTGCCCTCTTCTGTTTCGTGAAGATGGCAATCTTCTCTTTTCGTTGTACCTGATCAAATAGGCAATAGGGGAACATAATTGACATATGTGACTTCAACCAACCCTACTCATGGACTAAAAAGCACTATCAATGGAAATTCTCCACTGAGCATGCTTTACTAATCTGGATCCGGGGGAAACACCCTAAATATTTGGATTTTCTTTCAAACTTCACCCTGTTATTACACACAAAAACACTTTTGTAACATTTTGTATGATGGATGCATTGCTTACCTCCTCCTCTTGGCGTCCACCCATGCCTGATCCCGGTCATCCTTATCAGGGTCGTACAGTAGTTCATCGTTGGTGGGGATGGATCGCTGTTTCCTGCGTCTCTGACCCGAGGAACTGCCTGCAGAAGAGGATCAAACAATCATGTTTTTGTATTGCATCATCTGTACAACAATAGGACTCTGTCCTTTTTAATCCAGGGTTAGGGCTTAATCTGTGCCCTCAGAGTCAATGTTTGGTTTACCAATGAATCCTAGCTACACACTTACTTGGAGCAGTTTCCTCCTCGTCTGAATCGGAGTCAAAATAAACATTGTCATAAAGCTCTGGCTGTGGTAACCCAGGTGTTGCAGCATTGTCATTGGTACCCAAAGCCTCTCCTGGGATGGACAGATGGACACTGTTATTAATGAGTACAGCAGTACAATGTTAATGATAGACAGGGGTGCAACGTTCACTGGGGACAGGGGGGACATAACCCCCCACATTCTGAAATAGCATTTTTGTCCCCCCCAGTTTTATCATTGCATTGTGATACAAAAAGAGGGATCGGTGGGCTTTAGGACCATGCGGACACCTCAGCGCGTTAGGGTAGGCTGTTTGGTGGTTTCAGCCGGCTGGATTTAGGAACGCGCGGACACCACAGAGTGTGCGAACAGAGGCATCTATTCTCTGTGTGTGTTGTGCTTTTTTTCCGAGTTGTAAAAGCAAGCAGAGCATAAACTGGCTACTCTTTATTTGACTGATGTAGCTGGCAAGGTAACTGCCATTTGACTTTTTAAAAATATATATTTTTATGCATCTATAACTTTCTCACTCACTATTCATTCAGGATTATCCATAATCATGGTAGCATCCACATTCATGTAGAAGTGTTTAGAAACATTCAATTCTTATTTACAATAAAAATGACCCCCAAAAGGGTCATAGATTGTGTAGAAATGCAGGAAATGAGCTTTAGATGGCCCCCTGCCAGGTTATGTCCCCCACACTTCTAAAACCAAAGTTGCACCCCTGTTGATAGAGATAAAATGGCCAACTCGCACATCTGAACAAAATCTACAAGGCAAATTCAGTAAATGCAGTTGAAGTGTTATCACTATTCATAACAGAACAACAGTGTGCATAGCCGCCGCCCAAAAAGACACAAAAAACGATTGATGCTAGAAGAAAACTCCACCTGCTGGTGCTGTAGGTGACGCCCATTTGCACTCCATAGTCTTGATGGTGGTGCTGAGCTCTGCCTCCATCTCTTTCTCAAACTCATCCCCACTGGAGGACTCACTCTCCCCAGTCAGGTATTCTCGGATGAGCTTCCTCTTCTGATCCGGGGTCCCGTTCAAGAGCACATCCAGCTCATCCTCAGAGCTGGAAATACAGCAACAAATTAGGAGGGTCTTGATGATGTACAGTTTTAATAGTGGACAGTTATTGGTCAACTTTGCGCCGCAATAATAAAGTACTTCTTTATAACAGGACTGGGGCAAATCACGCTATAGAATATGTAAACACAATACTGTACCCAAACATTTAACATTGACACCTGTTTACATGTTACTGTTCGGCTACTAGCTAGATAGCATCACTAGCAACCATGCTTGCATTGGACGACCAGCTTACGTTAGTGTGCTAGCTGGGCCAAATGCTACCTAACGTCAAACCATGCAACCACAATTACCTGTCTTCAGCTCTTTCTTCATCACTTGGCTCCTCTATCTCATATGAATCATACTCTACTTGTCTGTTCATTTTGTATTTTATGAATTATAGCTAGCAAACTAACTTACGAAAACGGTAAAGGTAAACAAAGGGGATAACTTTTTTAAGCTGCGTCGCCAGGATCTTGAAGTTTACTTCCTGATGTCATATTACTTCCGATTTGCACTTTTCAAAGTAAAAGTCCCGGGGGTTCAAAAGTAGGAATTGCCCCCCCCACACACACACACTGATCTACACAACATACTCGACACATTCAAGGTGAATGAAACAACCTTGTACAAGCAGTTTAAAAAGTGGCCATCTTTTTTATTCAACCTTAATATGAACAGTTGAAATGGAGTTTAATATGATATTGAAGGTAATTTTCCATTGGCTTCCCCTGGCTTTTCTTCCATGTTTCTCGGGATCATAAAAACTACAAAATTAAAAAGGTTTACAACTAGATAGATGGACAACAAATAGCCTACTCAAAACATTTAATGAAATATGTTCAGGATGGTTCTAAGGTACAGTATAACAGTATAATTTATTATTAATATTTTCATAATCATTTTGATCATCATTATCAGTACTACTGTTTGTTTCAGCATTTCTCCATCTAAATAAATGGAAGCTTTGGTCACAGAGTGAAAAAAACATTAATATACAGTGCGCTTAAAAAAAAAACTGGGGAAAAACAAAACAAACTTGTGCATTTAGGTTCTCTTTTTTTTTACAATACTTGATAGTATTAGTCTACATTAAGGCAAACATACTGAAGCATTACCTGTCTGGAATGAAAAAATAACAGAATTTGTATGAAATTACTGAAAAACAAAAGTATTAGTAAAGATTAAAACAATCATTAGCAGTACAGTAAGAACTAATACAACATGTACAAGGCTTTTAGTGACAATACACTTTAATAATAGTAAGAATCAGCTCAACTTGAACAAAGTAACTGAGCAGCATCACAGAAAAAGTTTTACTGAAACTATTGGCCTCAAAGATTACACTAAGCAACATAATAACAAATAATACATCTGGACAGACATGATGTGATATAGATTGGGAGAAGATTCCCATGGAAAATTATGATTGTTATTAACAATTCAAAAGTTCACGTGATTTAACGAAGTTATAGGTTCTTGTGCCGTGTGGACATTGTAGGTATTCCACCGCGGCTTCCTCTCGTTTTTAGGGGGGTTGTGGATGGAGTTTGGTGTCTCTGGTGATGACTACGAACAGACATCCTGAAAATAAACTGACCACAGATATGCTCTCTCTTCCATCTTCTCAGTGAAGACCAGACCAAAGCGGGGGAAGCTCTGTACAGTGAACCTTCAGTAAAGACCTAAGTGTCTCCTTTGAGGACCCCGACACAGCTTTGCAATAATTGTAAATTACCCTGTGGAGAAGCAGCAAGAAAGAGAATTAGCCTAAACCAGGGGAAAAAGCAGTTTTGGAAGTCAAAACAGACAACCATGTATAATAAAAAATTACCTTGGCATGTTTGAGTTCCAGTTCGGCAAGTTCCACCAAGTTCTTTCTGAAGGCTGCTACTCGTCTCGTCTTGAAGTCTATAAGCTCTGTATTCCGGAATAGCAGAACATTATCAGATTTACCTCTACATCCCTAATATGGTTTAGCTTCTCTTACATGCAAACCTGGGACTCTGATTTAATTTTCAACAGGGAGGGATACTTTTAGGAAAAGTATGAAATGCCTTGAATTATTAATACTGTTAAAAGATCCAATGCAGTGGTTTTTATCTTAATATCAAATCATTTCTGGGTAGCAATTAAGTACCTCAAAAAGAAACAAAAATAGCTTCTTAGCAAAGAGCAATAACTCAAGCAAGAATTTAGCTAGGACTGTCAAAAATATATATAAAGTGGATAAAGTACCTTGCTTTGCAGACTCTGATATTTTCTCAAACTTCTGACAGCACACCTGCTGGCTGGTCTCTGCCTGAAGGACATCTTTGTTCTTTGCCCTGGCTTTGTCCAGAGCTTTGTTTGCATTCTCGTAATCTATCAGGGCCCTCCCTCGTCTGTACAATAGATCCTGAAGAAAGAAACAGCAGATTCCATAGAGCACATTAATAATAATCTAAACACTACAACACTGTCTGATGAAAATGCTCAGATAATACCTCTGATAACTGACCAGGGTCAAGTTACATACCTTAGCAGCTTGCGACTCCCTGAGGTAATACTTCAGTAAGTCGGCAAGTTTCAGGTCCTCATCTGCAGCCACTCGAGCCTCTATTTTCTGTAGAGGAAGCGACACCAGCAGAAACTTGTGAACTTTAGACAAGATCTACATTGCGACCAATAGATAGCTCAAGACCACATGTTTCGTTTTTGGCTATAATGAACATAGTTATTGACTTCATTGCCTATGCTTTAGTGTTCATAGCTGGTACACAACAAGTTGACCAAATTGCGTCATACACAGAATCATTTAATAAAAGAAACAAATGTACCCGTGTTTTCTCAAACAGCTCAGAGACTTTCAAGAAAAATCTGGAAAACAGTAAATTGCATTTGAGTTACTATAGTTTATAGATATTTTTGAGTTATTGTAGATTATTGGCAGCAAACAATGTATGGAGAGAAAATGGGGAATAATTTAGTCCCATACTTGCACACATCTGTGGAGTCCTGGGTTCCTAAAGTGTACAGTGTGGAGGCGATTCTATTGATATCATCTGCAGCACCTGCAACAGAGGAACACTCACATTAGATCCCATTACATTTCAGATAACAGCTCAACCCCCGTACTCACATATAAAACACACAGACGGTCGGTCATTCATGTACAAAATACATCAATAAAATGCAAGCAAACATCTTTTATAAAATAACCTACAATGATAAAACATCTGCAGCAGGACATTTTCAAATACGCAGGGAGTCACTTTTCAAATATAGTATCATGTTTTAATGCTGTGGAAATGAGGTAACATACATACAGTTGAAGTCGGAAGTTTACATACACCTTAGCCAAATACATTTAAACTCAGTTTTTCACAATTCCTGACATTTAATTAATCCTAGTAAAAATTCCCCTGTCTTAGGTCAGTTAGGATCACCACTTTATTTTAAGAATGTGAAATGTCAGAATAATAGTAGAGAGAATGATTTACTTCAGCTTTTATTTCTTTCAACACATTCCCAGTGGGTCAGAAGTTTACATACACTCAATTAGTATTTGGTAGCATTGCCTTTAAATTGTTTAACTTGGGTCAAACATTTCGGGTAGCCTTCCACAACCTTCCCACAATACGTTGGGTGAATTTTGGCCCATTCCTCCTGACAGAGCAGGTGTAACTGAGTCAGGTTTGTAGGCCTCCTTGCTCGCAACACGCTTTTTCAGTTCTGCCCACAAATGTTCTATAGGATTGAGGTCAGGGCTTTGTGATGGCCACTCCAATACCTTGACTTTGTTGTCCTTAAGCCATTTTGACACAACTTTGGAAGTATGCTTGGGGTCATTGTCCATTTGGAAGACCCATTGGCGACCAAGCTTTAACTTCCTGACTGATGTCTTGAAATGTTACTTCAATATATCCACAACATTTTCCTTCCTCATGATGCCATCTATTTTGTGAATTGCACCAGACCCTCCTGCAGCAAAGTACCCCCACAGCATGATGCTGCCACCCCCGTGCTTCACGGTTGGGATGGTGTGAAAAATGTATGCACTCACTAACTGTTAGTCGCTCTTGATAAGAGCGTCTGCTAAATGACTGTAAAAAATGTAATGTAAAATGTGTTCTTCGGCTTGTAAGCCACCCCCTTTTTCCTCCAAACATAACGATGGTCATTATGGCCAAACAGTTCTATTTTTGTTTCATCAGACCAGAGGACATTTCTCCAAAAAGTACAATCTTTGTCCCCATGTGCAGTTGCAAACCGTAGTCTGGCTTTTTTATGGCGGTTTTGGAGCAGTGGCTTCTTCCTTGCTGAGCGGCCTTTCAGGTTACGTCGATATAGGACTCGTTTTACTGTGGATATTGATACCTTTGTACCTGTTTCCTCCAGCATCTTCACAAGGTCCTTTGCTGTTGTTCTGGGATTGATTTGCACTTTTCGCACCAAAGTACATTCATCTGCAGGAGACAGAACGCGTCTCCTTCCTGAGCGGTATGACGGCTGCATGGTCCCATGGTGTTTATACTATTGTTTGTACAGATGAACGTGGTACCTTCAGGCGTTTGGAAATTGCTTCCAAGGATGAACCAGACTTGTGGAGGTCTACACATTTTGTCTGAGGTCTTGGCTGATTTCTTTTGATTTTCCCATGATGTCAAGCAAAGAGGCACTGAGTTTGAAGGTAGGCCTTGAAATACATCCACAGGTACACCTCCAATTGACTCAAATGATGTCAATTAGCCTATCAGAAGCTTCTAAAGCCATGACATCATTTTCTGGAATTTTCCAAGCTGTTTAAAGGCACAGTCAACTTAGTGTATGTAAACTTCTGACCCACTAGTATTGTGATACAGTGAATTATAAGTGAAATAATCTGTCTAAACAATTGTTGGAAAAATTACTTGTGTCATGCACAAAGTAGATGTCCTAACAGACTTGCCAAAACTATAGTTTGTTAACAAGACATTTGTGGAGTGGTTGAAAAACAAGTTAATGACTCCAACCTAAGTGTATGTAAACTTCCGACTTCAACTGTACATAATAGTTCCTACACAAAGCTGAGGACATGCCAGATGTATTGTCTGGTCCTTGGGAATGACAGAGGACTAGATTTCTGAGGGGAATTTGTATCCTGAAGCTGTCAAAGCAGGATTGAAGGGTGAAAGAACCAGCACAACATTTTTATTCAAAAGACCAAAGGGAACCTCATGGCTCTTACCTGTTAGGATATACAAATCTTGACTAAAAATACAGCTACAAAAAAACGGGTCATTTACAAGATATTGTGCTCATCCAAAACATTTTTTAGGAACATGACAAAGTTTAGAATTGAGTCGGCTGTCATCCCCAACATTTTAAGACTTACTGACCCAATTACAAATAAACAACTTACCCATTTCCATATTTGTCAGCGAATTAATATAAAACAAAAAATAGACGTAAAATACAACGCACACCACAAGGACAATCAGGCTGGTTTCCACAAATATTAAAACATGATACCAAAGTAACTCAGTCCCATTCACCAACAGTTCACAGAAAAAACGGCATTTCAATACTTTCAAATGGAATTACTCAAATCAATCTCATTCTCAATTTTACATTTTAGTCATTTAGCAGACGCTCTTATCCAGAGCGACTTACAGTTAAGTGAGTGCATACATTTTTCATACTGATTAAAATCAATGTATATAGCAGAAAGCTTACCTAGCACGTGGAGATTATGAGACAGAGAGGAGACTTACTTTTGTGGGACCTGATCATTCTATCAGATTTGGCGGAGGCATCTTTGACACGATTATGGTATTCTAAAAGGAATGTCTTCTCATGTTCAAAGAAATCATCTACATCCTGAAATCCAAAAGACAATTATGTCAAACTTTATACACGTAATAACTTTTAAAGAATACAAATCTGAAGATAAACAGATTTTGACAATTGCATTTATACAAATGTTAGCACCATTCATGATGCTAACAATGTTTTTCAAACAATGCGTAAGTCGCAAAATGCTTACAGTGGGGAAAAAAAGTATTTAGTCAGCCACCAATTGTGCAAGTTCTCCCACTTAAAAAGATGAGAGAGGCCTGTAATTTTCATCATAGGTACACGTCAACTATGACAGACAAATTGAGAATTTTTTTTCCAGAAAATCACATTGTAGGATTTTTTATGAATTTATTTGCAAATTATGGTGGAAAATAAGTATTTGGTCACCTACAAACAAGCAAGATTTCTGGCTCTCACAGACCTGTAACTTCTTCTTTAAGAGGCTCCTCTGTCCTCCACTCGTTACCTGTATTAATGGCACCTGTTTGAACTTGTTATCAGTATAAAATACACCTGTCCACAACCTCAAACAGTCACACTCCAAACTCCACAATGGCCAAGACCAAAGAGCTGTCAAAGGACACCAGAAACAAAATTGTAGACTTGCACCAGGCTGGGAAGACTGAATCTGCAATAGGTAAGCAGCTTGGTTTGAAGAAATCAACTGTGGGAGCAATTATTAGGAAATGGAAGACATACAAGACCACTGATAATCTCCCTCAATCTGGGGCTCCACGCAAGATCTCACCCCGTGGGGTCAAAATGATCACAAGAACGGTGAGCAAAAATCCCAGAACCACACGGGGGGACCTAGTGAATGACCTGCAGAGAGCTGGGACCAAAGTAACAAAGCCTACCATCAGTAACACACTACGCCGCCAGGGACTCAAATCCTGCAGTGCCAGACGTGTCCCCCTGCTTAAGCCAGTACATGTCCAGGCCCGTCTGAAGTGCATTTGGATGATCCAGAAGAGGATTGGGAGAATGTCATATGGTCAGATGAAACCAAAATATAACTTTTTGGTAAAAACTCAACTCGTCATGTTTGGAGGACAAAGAATGCTGAGTTGCATCCAAAGAACACCATACCTACTGTGAAGCATGGGGTGGAAACATCATGCTTTTGGGCTGTTTTTCTGCAAAGGGACCAGGACGACTGATCCGTGTAAAGGAAAGAATGAATGGGGCCATGTATCGTGAGATTTTGAGTGAAAACCTCCTTCCATCAGCAAGGGCATTGAAGATGAAACGTGGCTGGGTCTTTCAGCATGACAATGATCCCAAACACACCGCCCGGGCAACGAAGGAGTGGCTTCGTAAGAAGCATTTCAAGGTCCTGGAGTGGCCTAGCCAGTCTCCAGATCTCAACCCCATAGAAAATCTTTGGAGGGAGTTGAAAGTCTGTGTTGCCCAGCGACAGCCCCAAAACATCACTGCTCTAGAGGAGATCTGCATGGAGGAATGGGCCAAAAATACAAGCAACAGTGTGTGAAAAACTTGTGAAGACTTACAGAAAAACGTTTGACCTGTGTCATTGCAACAAAGGGTATATAAAAAGTATTGGAGAAACTTTTGTTATTGACCAAATACTTATTTTCCACCATCATTTGCCAATAAATTCATTAAAAATCCCTACAATGTGATTTTCTGGATTTTTTTTTCTCATTTTTGTCTGTATAGTTGACGTGTACCTATGATGAAAATTACAGGCCTCTCTCATCTTTTTAAGTGGGAGAACTTGCACAATTGGTGGCTGACTAAATACTTTTTTTCCCCACTGTATGTTGTGATTTCATTAAAATATAAAAACGCAAAGCAAGTTCAATCCCCATTTACTTGGCTGAATGGATTTACATAGAAAAGCAAACCCAACTCACCTTCACCCCTGCCACTAACACACCATCTGCTGACTTCACCACATTCTTGAAGAAATCTTCCATCTTCTCCCTCTTGTTTTTGCCTCGTACACTCAGCTGTGAACAAAAGAGGTCAAGTAAGGACAAACTGACAATGATAAAACTGGGATAAGGTAAGGAAATGGCATATGTTTTCAGGCACATCTGACCAGCCTTTTGAGTTATCTAAAGTTAAAAGAAACGAGAGAGAGAAAGCTTGTCTAATAAAATTTCCACAGCTACAATCGTCACCAAAATACAGTCAGTTTCAAAATGATTTGCACCCTTGATAAAGATGCGCAAAAAAGACTGTATAAAATCCGTTGCGAGGATAATGGCACTGAGCCTTTTTCTAAAATGTTGTAAGAGATTAGAGAATACATTGGAAGGTATCTTAGACCATTCGTCCATACTGAATCGTTCCAGATTCTTGATATCCTTCGTCTGCGCGTATGGACTGCCCTCTTCAATTCAAACCACACATTTTCAATGGGGTTGAAGTCCAGAGACTGAGATGCCCATTGCAAAATGCTGATTTTGTGGTGAATTAACCATTTGTGGATTTTGATGTGTGTTTGGGGTTATTGGCATGCTGGACGATCCATTTTCAGCCTCCTGGAAGAGGCAGCTAGGTTTTTGGTTAAAATATCCTGGTACTGGGTAAAATTAATGATGCCGTTGACCTTAACAAGAGCCCCAGGACCAGTGGAAGCAAAATAGCCCCATAACATCAAAGATCCACCACCATATTTTACAGTTGGTATGGGGTTCTTTTCCGCATATGCATCCTTCTTTCGACACCAAACACACCCTTGGTGTGCATGGCCAAAGAGCTCTATTTTCATGTAATCTGATCATAGCACCGGTTTTAATCCAAGTGCCAATGCTGTTTAGACTCCAGGCGTTTATATTTGTTGGATGAAATGAAAAGAGCTCTTGGGCCACGCACACCAGTGGTGTGTTTGGCGTCAACAGAAGGATGCATGTACAGAAAAGAACCCCATACCTACAGTACAATATGGTGGTGGATCTGATGTTATGGGGCTATTTTGTCTCCACTCGTCCTGGGGCCCTTGTTAAGGTAAGCAGCATCATGAATATTACCCAGTACCAGGAAATGTTTGGCAAAAACCGGGTTGCCTCTAGTCTGTCCTCCTGACTTCAGAGTCTGGAAAGACTGTTTTGATGTTGTTGGCACTATAATGAAGGGGGCTGTGCTGAATGAATGAATTCATAAATAAAACATTTGTGTCAAATCGCTAGTTGGCAACACATCCCTTACGGCATATGTGTCAAACTCATTCCAAAGAGGGCCGACTGGGTTTTCGCTCCACCCTTGTACTTGATTGATGAATTAAGGTCACCAATTAGTAAGGAACTCCCCTCACCTGATTGTCTAGGTCTTAATTGAAAGGAAAAACCAAAAACCTGCAGACACTCGACCCTCCATGGAATGAGTTTGACACCGCTGCCTTGCGGGATTAATTGACACAAACAAACATTACAATGATTCACATTGATAATTCAGTGATAATTATTCTGGTGTTCTGTGCAGTGCGCACCGAACAAACAATGAAAAATAAATCAATACATAATAGTAGATCTGATTATCCAAGCAATAATAATAACCCTAGAGCAATATATATATATATATTTTTTAAATACTAATAAATACATTCAGAAAAATTTTACCGAACGCGTTTAAACACGGTCTGGCACAAAGAAAATACTCAAGTGTGACACAGGCCTATACACAATGGGCCAGATTAATCGAATCCCTTCAATCTATATATACTGAACAAAAATATAAATGCAACATGCAACAATTTCAAAGATTTACTGAGTTACAGTTCATATAAGGAAATCTGTCAATTGAAATAAATTCATTAGGCCCTATGGACTTTACATGACTGGGAATACAGATTTGCATCTGTTGGTCACAGATACCTTAAAAAAAAGGTAGGGTTGTGGATCAGAAAACCAGTCAGTATCTGGTGTGACCAACATTTGCCTCATGCAGCGTGACACACCCCCTTCGCATAGAGTTGATCAGGTTGTTGATTGTGGCCTGTGGAATGTTGTCCCACTCCTTTTTAATGGCTATGCGAAGTTGCTGGATATTGGTGGGAACTGGAACACACTGTCGTACACGTCGATTCCAGAGCATCCCAAACATGCTCAAGGGGTGACATGTCTGGTGAGTATGCAGGCCATGGAAGAACGGATATTTTCAGCTTCCAGGAATTGTATACAGATCCTTGAGTCATGGGGTCATGCATTATCATGCTGAAACATGAGGTGATGGCGGCGGATGAATGGCACGACAATGGGCCTCAGGATCTCGTCACGGTATCTCTGTGCATTCAAATGGCAATCGATAAAAATGCAATTGTGTTCGTTGTCCGTAGCTTATGCCTGCCCATACCATAACCCCACCATGGGGCACTCTGTTCACAACGTTGACATCAGCAAACCGCTCGCCCATATGACGCCATACACGTGGTCTGCGACTGTGAGGCCGGTTGGACGTACTGCCAAATTCTCTAAAACGACAGTAGAGAAATGAGCATTCAATTCTCTGGCAACAGCTCTGGTGGACATTCCTGCCAATTGCATCCTCCCTAAAAACTTGAGACATCTGTGGCATGGTGTTGTGTGACAAAACTGCACATTTTAGAGTGGCCTTTTATTGTCTCCAGCACAAGGTGCACTTGTGTAATGATCATGTCGTTTAATCAGCTTGTTGATATGCCACACCTGTCAGGTGGATGGATTATCTTGGCAAAGGAGAAATGCTCATTAACAGGGATGTAAACAAATGTGTGATATTTTTTTTGTTGAGAAAAAAGCTTTTTGTGAGTATGGAACATTTCTGGAATCTTTTATTTCAGCTCATGAAACATGGGACCAACGCTTTACATGTTGCGTTTACATTTTTGTTCAGTGTACATGCTTTTACTGGTTGGTTCTCCTCCATGTCTTTCTCACTTAAACACCCACACACACACAGCAACACACAGCCCCCGAATGCCGCCCCCTTCCATTTTAACTGTTGGATTTTCAAATACAAACAACCAGAGGTCTCAACCCCCCAGGAAAAAAATAAACACTTGAGGGAACCATTCAATGAGTCTCCTCACTTTCTGATCGAATATTGCATTTCCAACAGTCTCCTGTCCAGAACAGTGTGTCACAGCTCTCCCTGTGCTGTGAGTGAGTCACGTCAGCCAAGCTAGGTGAAACTTGGCAGCAAGTGGATCTTCCAGCAAGCCAATAACCCCAAGTACACAAAGAAATGGTTAATTGACCACAAAATCAACATTTTACAATCTGTGGTTTGAATTGAAGAGGGCAGTCCATTTTTTATATATTTTTTATTTTACCTTTATTTAACTAGGCAAGTCAGTTAAGAACAAATTCTTATTTACAATGACGGCCTACACCGGTCAAACCCGGACGACGCTGGGCCAATTGTGCGCCGCCCTATGGGACTCCCAATCACGGCCAGTTGTGATACAGCCTGGAATCAACCCAGGGGGTCTGTAGTGACGCCTCAAGCACTGAGATGCAGTGCCTTAGTCCGCTGCGCCACTCGGGAGCCCATAAGCACAGATGAAGGATATCAAGGATCTGGAAATATTCTGTATGGAGGAATGGTCTAAGATACCTCCCAATGTGTTCTCCAATCACATCAAACATTTTAGGAAAAGGCTCAGTGCCGTTATCCTCGAAAGGGGAGAAGCTACCGGAGTTTTGAAAACAGGCGTGCCAATAATTTTGACCCCTATCTTCTTTAGAAATTGTTTTTATTTGTTAAACAAAATCTTTCTCTGAGCAATTGTATTAGTTTAAAATAATATAATTTTCAAAAAAATTGCAGCATACAGTGGGGAAAAAAAGTATTTAGTCAGCCACCAATTGTGCAAGTTCTCCCACTTAAAAAGATGAGAGGCCTGTCATTTTCATCATAGGTACACGTCAACTATGACAGACAAATTGAGGAAAATCCAGAAAATCACATTGTAGGATTTTTTATGAATTTATTTGCAAATTATGGTGGAAAATAAGTATTTGGTCACCTACAAACAAGCAAGATTTCTGGCTCTCACAGACCTGTAACTTCTTCTTTAAGAGGCTCCTCTGTCCTCCACTCGTTACCTGTATTAATGGCACCTGTTTGAACTTGTTATCAGTATAAAAGACACCTGTCCACAACCTCAAACAGTCACACTCCAAACTCCACTATGGCCAAGACCAAAGAGCTGTCAAAGGACACCAGAAACAAAATTGTAGACCTGCACCAGGCTGGGAAGACTGCATCTGCAATAGGTAAGCAGCTTGGTTTGAAGAAATCAACTGTGGGAGCAATTATTAGGAAATGGAAGACATACAAGACCACTGATAATCTCCCTCGATCTGGGGCTCCACGCAAGATCTCACCCCGTGGGGTCAAAATGATCACAAGAACGGTGAGCAAAAATCCCAGAACCACACGGGTGAACCTAGTGAATGACCTGCAGAGAGCTGGGACCAAAGTAACAAAGCCTACCATCAGTAACACACTACGCCGCCAGGGACTCAAATACTGCAGTGCCAAACGTGTCCCCCTGCTTAAGCCAGTACATGTCCAGGCCCGTCTGAAGTTTGCTAGAGTGCATTTGGATGATCCAGAAGAGGATTGGGAGAATGTCATATGGTCAGATGAAACCAAAATAGAACTTTTTGGTAAAAACTCAACTCGTCGTGTTTGGAGGACAAAGAATGCTGAGTTGCATCCAAAGAACACCATACCTACTGTGAAGCATGGGGGTGGAAACATCATGCTTTGGGGCTGTTTTTCTGCAAAGGGACCAGGACGACTGATCCGTGTAAAGGAAAGAATGAATGGGGCCATGTATCGTGAGATTTTGAGTGAAAACCTCCTTCCATCAGCAAGGGCATTGAAGATGAAACGTGGCTGGGTCTTTCAGCATGACAATGATCCCAAACACACCGCCCGGGCAACGAAGGAAGAAGCATTTCAAGGTCCTGGAGTGGCCTAGCCAGTCTCCAGATCTCAACCCCATAGAAAATCTTGGAGGGAGTTGAAAGTCTGTGTTGCCCAGCGACAGCCCCAAAACATCACTGCTCTAGAGGAGATCTGCATGGAGGAATGGGCCTAAATACCAGCAACAGTGTGTGAAAACCTTGTGAAGACTTACAGAAAACGTTTGACCTGTGTCATTGCCAACAAAGGGTATATAACAAAGTATTGAGAAACTTTTGTTATTGACCAAATACTTATTTTCCACCATAATTTGCAAATAAATTCATAAAAAATCCTACAATGTGATTTTCTGGATTTGTTTTCCTCATTTTGTTTGTCATAGCTGACGTGTACCTATGATGAAAATTACAGGCCTCTCTCATCTTTTTAAGTGGGAGAACTTGCACAATTGGTGGCTGACTAAATACTTTTTTTCCCCACTGTACAATATAGCTCAGTATTTGTATTATTTATTTTAAACAGTCTTTTTTGCTCATCTTTATCAAGGGAGCCAATAATTTTGGACCTGACTGGAAATCTAAATCCTAAATTGTTAATCTCAACCCCACTTACGTCTTGGTTGTACTCTAAAAAGACATGGAAGTTCATATCTTTCCTTAAGACAGGATGGGCAGCCACACGGCAAAGAAACACTTCATGCATTGCCACGGTCTTCTTGAAGATAGCCAAGTATTCCCTGAAACACACAGATATAGCCAAGATATTAACCAACGGCATTCAGTGCATCCAAGTATCCCAACCAAACCATTATACTAAAACACAAAAACAATGTCAGAGCAACATGGGTCGTGTCGAGTAGGCATGAAATGGTAGAAAACACAGAGAGCATGAAATGAGGTTGCTTAGTGGGTAAGAGTGTTGTGCCAGTAACCGAAAGGTCGCTGGTTCTAATCCCCGAGCCGACTAGGTGAAAAATCTGTCGATGTGCCCTTAAGCAAGGCACTTAACCCTATTTGCTCCTGTAAGTCGCTCTGGATAAGAGCGTCTGCTAAATGACTAAAATGTTAAATGTAAAAATGTACTATCCTAACTTTTTTTCTCGATGTGCCCTAATGAACATGACCATGAACTCACGCTTCAAGTTCCTGTTTCATTTTGGTGAACTCTTCCTTGGTCATGGAACCTTCACCTTCCCCCAGTTTCTGTAACTTCTCTCTGGAGGCATCGAAGTCGGGTCTTGGTGGAGCAGGGGGAATCTACAATTCAACAAATCACATTTAATCAGTACAGTTTTTTTTAATGAACATCTAGCTAAGTTAATTACTCCATGACACCAGGCGGTTTTAATGAGAAAGGGGATTGACAATTAATCATTTAGTTGTTTTCTAAAACACTGGTTTATAAGCCAATCCTAAAAGTCAAAACAGTCTTCTCCCAAATTGCACCCTATTCCCATATAGTGCACTACTTGTCAAAAGTAGTGCACTATATAGGGAATACGGTGCCATTTGGGACACACACACACAGAGTACTCTGGATGGTGCTCAGTACTTACAATGTAGCCTGCATACTCCTCATTCTCCACAAAGGAGTCATGAAGCCAGATGAACTCCTCATGCTGCCTTACCACTGAAAACTCATTCTGCTTGAAGTTAGGAAGAGTGCTCTGGAAGGTAATCAAAATAATAGGAATCAGATATCAATCGTAGGACACATTCTACTGAAAAGCAGAGCCAAATACAGAATATAGTATTTATCTATGGCTCTTTTGAAAATATCTTTCTGCAAATTAGAATGTGCAGCTCAATTAAAAAAAGGGAAAAAACAGGACTTGATCACAATGATCATCTCAAGTGTCAAGACAATGATTAACCCATTTCAATCATGATTGAATTCCTTCCTTCACAAGAGACCTTGAAACATTATAAAAGCAGCCGTAAAAACAAATAAACCCATGACATTATGAGCTTACACTTTGACAGTGACAGGAAATGAATGACTATTGGAATTCTCTCTGCATAGAAAATGAAGTGGAGTGGAATGCGATCATGCACAGGTTCTTAACCTTAGATCTTCATTTGCGTTCCATGAAATCAACAAAGCTTATTTTGCATACATGCACACTTGTTTTCAGAAGACAACATGAATGTGGAGATAACACAACTGCTGGGGAGCCTGGGGAAGTCATGTAACATAAGTCTTGATTCATACAGCCATAGAAATGCACATTATTGGCCTTTCATTTGCCAAGTGCCAGGGCAAACAAGAATGAATATTGACAGGAAGCTAAACTCTCTTACCTTAGTATGGACAGTAAACTTAACCTTGTCCCGCTCACTCAATGCATCAGAAATGTCCACTTGAAGTGTTGCATCAGTTTGGAGGTCAACATTGACTGCCCTAGGCTGCAAAAGATTGTAACAGATATTGTATTGTATTTAGTGAACAGCCAATGACAAAATCACCATTCCCCACAACTAAAGCTGGCTACATTCCACCAAAAGAGATTATAGATAGGCTATAGCATGACTCTAGTGTTTGTTTTCCCCCTTTTGGAGTGGAGGGATAATACCAATATGAAAATGTTAGGTATGTGAAACTTTCAGCTAATGTTGACAGCAGTCTTCCTCATTTGTTTGCCTACTAGGGTAAGTAGCTTACAATGCAATTATACATAATGCTCCAACAGGACACAACAATGAAATGTAACGGCTAGCTAGCTGTCAAATAATGACTGTCTTGGCTAGTCTGATTAATCAGGCTGGAATACACAATTATTTGGTATATACAGCCTGACACTAATGCCTGCAAAATCGTGTAAATGTTCCTTACAAGCCAGAATTATAAATAAAATGTTATATAAACTTACTCTACCGGTTGTCTGTGCAGTTTGTGTGTCGATTGCTGCTCGAAATTTGAGACAAAATATCCACAGGAAAGTATAGTTTACCCAACTTTATAGAGAGCCGGTAGGTATCTGGTTTAGTTCGGAACCGAGGTAAAGTTAATTTGGGGCAATTCCATCGTAACGGAATTACACTTTGACTCCGATTTCTCACTTTAGAATGTATGCCAAACAAAAACCATTGATTTCAAAGTTTAACAAACCATACAACTCTATGCACAAGGAATACTTTGAACAATTTACACAGAACATTTCATAAAAACACACGAAGAACTGTGCAGATCCAAAGTTTGGTAATAAAATTACGGTAAAATCTCCCCCAGTTTTTTATGCGACTACGTTTCCCCAAAACTCTTAAATATCGGCTCCAAATTAAGATTCAAAGATGTCTGCATAAGAATGAGGTGTCAGCTATGACATGACAGTTTGAACATTTGTATTTTGTTTATTGAACACAGTAGGTGAAGTCGATTTACATCCGGTAACGGAATTACAGTACGGTAAGTGTCCCTGATCTGTATTATACAGAAATGCATAATTATGGATATGAATCTCATTCTCTTCATGGTGATGTATCCTGAATACGTACATACAGTGCATTCAGAGAGTATTCAGACCCCTTCACTTTTTTCACAGTTACGTTACAGCCTTCTTAGACTCTTCTTAGAGCTGACCGTCCGGCCAAACTGAGCAATCGGGGGAGAAGGGCCTTGGTCAGGGAGGTGACCAAGAACCCGATGGTCACTCTGACAGAGCTCCAGAGTTCCTCTGTGGAGATGGGAGAACCTTCCAGAAGGACAACCATCTCTGCAGCACTCCACCAATCAGGCCTTTATGGAAGAGTGGCCAGACGGAAGGCACTCCTCAGTAAGAGGCACATGACAGCCCGCTTGGAGTTTGCCAAAAGGCACCTAAAGGACTCTCAGACCATGAGAAACAAGATTCTCTGTTCTGATGAAACCAAGATTGAACTCTTTGGCCTGATTGCCAAGCGTCACGTCTGGAGGAAACCAGGCACCGCTCATCACCTGGCCAATACCATCCCTATGGTGAAGTGGCAGGGACTAGGAGACTAGTCAGGATCGAGGGAAAGATGAACAGAGCAAAGTACAGAGAGATCCTTGATGAAAACCTGCTCCAGGGCGCTCAGGACCTCAGACTGGGGCAAAGGTTCACCTACAACCCTAAGCACACAGCCAAGACAACGCAGGAGTTGCTTCGGGACAAGTCTCTGAATGTCCTTGAGTGGCCCAGGCAGAGCCTGGACTTGAACCCGATCGAACGTCTCTGGAGAGACCTGAAAATAGCTGTGCAGCGACGCTCCCCATCCAACCTGACAGAGCTTGAGAGGATCTGCAGAGAAGAATGGGAGAAACTCCCCAAGTACAGGTGTGCCAAGCTTGTAGCGTCATACCCAAGAAGACTTGAGGCTGTAATCGCTGCCAAAGGTGCTTCAACAAAGTACTGAGTAAAGGGTCTGTAAATGTTATCTTTCTAAAAACCTGTTTTTGCTTTGTCATTATGGAGTATTGTGTGTAGATTGATGAGGGGAAAAAAACGATTGAATCCATTTTAGAATAAGGCTGTAACGTAACTAAATGTGGAAAAAGTCAAGGGGTCTGAATACTTTCCGAATGCACTGTAAAAAAGGTAGAAATATGCAATATCCTTCTTTTGCATATTTGGGCATTATTCTAAACACTGGCGATTATTGTAATGAGCTCCGCCCCTAAACAAGACCACATTTGGTTGGTCCGGACCAGACCAAATCTGAAACAATCATAGACGTCTATGTTTCACAAGTTGACATCACAGTACAGCACAGTAGAGCATAGTAGAGTACAGTACAGCACAGTAAAGTAGATGTTCAGTACAGTAGAGTACAATACAGAACATTATACTGTACTCTACTCTAGTGTGCTCTACTCTACTGTACTTTTTTTTAACTGTAATGTACTGTTCTCTATTCTCATATTTGGTCCGGCCAGGGCGGACTGACCAAATTTCAACGTCCATGGACGTCCGGTGTCGGTCGGTACTCAGTGGGTCAGGATACTTGTTATAGTAAATGGAAAGAGGGTTGGTGGTAGGTGCAGTTAGAGCTGGGAGAGGTGACGTTAACGAGAGAGGGAGGGGTTGTCCAGACTGTTTTCACAGTCCTGCTTTGACCACCAGACGACGGAAATAGAAAACAGTTATGAGCTGAACATAACAGTATGCCAGTGGAAGGGAGGACAGCAGCAGTTAACCCAACTGTGGTTTGTGACTACTATGATTTCCCATGGTAGCCAATTCAATTGCAGCAATTCCATTACAGATTTTTCGGTAATTCCGTTCCATTTTAATCACTTAATAATTCATGATCAAACTTAATATCAGTAAAAAAAAAAAATTGGTAGATCGAACTTTACTTGTTACTTCTGAGAACTTTCATTATCCTCCTTTTTGGTAATGGAATTACAAGGCAATGTTTCTTAAACATACAGAAGGAAAATACATTCTCCAAAACAAAATATAAGTGTTCATATTAATTGGCAGGGGTCTTAACTTTAACATGATTGTGTTAAGACTTTTTCTGATACAGTGAGGGAAAAAGTATTTGATCCCCTGCTTATTTTGTACGTTTGCCCACTGACAAAGAAATGATCAGTCTATAATTTTAATGGTAGGTTTATTTGAACAGTGAGAGACAGAATAACAACAAATAAATCCAGAAAAACACATGTCAAAAATGTTATAAATTGATTTGCATTTTAATGGCTCCCTGGCGTCTTTTATACAGGTAACGAGCTGAGATTAGGAGCACACTCTTAAAGGGAGTGCTCCTAATCTCAGCTTGTTACCTGTATAAAAAGACACCTGTCCACAGAAGCAATCAATCAGATTCCAAACTCTCCACCATGGCCAAGACCAAAGAGCTCTCCAAGGATGTCAGGGACAAGATTGTAGACCTACACAAGGCTGGAATGGGCTACAAGACCATCGCCAAGCAGCTTGGTGAGAAGGTGACAACATTTGGTGCGATTATTCGCAAATGGAAGAAACACAAAATAACTGTCAATCTCCCTTGGCCTGGGGCTCCATGCAAGATCTCACCTTGTGGAGTTGCAATGATCATGAGAACGGTGAGGAATCAGCCCAGAACTACATGGGAGGATCTTGTCAATGATCTCAAGGCAGCTGGGACCAGTCACCAAGAAAACAATTGGTAACACACTACGCCGTGAAGGACTGAAATCCTGCAGCGCCCGCAAGGTCCCCCTGCTCAAGAAAGCACATATACAGTGGGGAAGAAAAGTATTTAGTCAGCCACCAATTGTGCAAGTTCTCCCACTTAAAAAGATGAGAGAGGCCTGTAATTTTCATCATAGGTACACGTCAACTATGACAGACAAAATGAGAATATTTTTCCCAGAAAATCACATTGTAGGATTTTTAATGACTTTATTTGCAAATTATGGTGGAAAATAAGTATTTGGTCAATAACAAAAGTTTCTCAATACTTTGTTATATACCCTTTGTTGGCAATGACACAGGTCAAACGTTTTCTGTAAGTCTTCACAAGGTTTTCACACACTGTTGCTGGTATTTTGGCCCATTCCTCCATGCAGATCTCCTCTAGAGCAGTGATGTTTTGGGGCTGTCGCTGGGCAACACAGACTTTCAACTCCCTCCAAAGATTTTCTATGGGGTTGAGATCTGGAGACTGGCTAGGCCACTCCAGGACCTAGAAATGCTTCTTACGAAGCCACTGCTTCGTTGCCCGAGCGGTGTGTTTGGGATCATTGTCATGCTGAAAGACCCAGCCACTTCAATGCCCTTGCTGATGGAAGGAGGTTTTCACTCAAAATCTCACGATACATGGCCCCATTCATTCTTTCCTTTACACGGATCAGTCGTCCTGGTCCCTTTGCAGAAAAACAGCCCCAAAGCATGATGTTTCCACCCCCATGCTTCACAGTAGGTATGGTGTTCTTTGGATGCAACTCAACATTCTTTGTCCTCCAAACACGACAAGTTGAGTTTTTACCAAAAAGTTCTATTTTGGTTTCATCTGACCATATGACATTCTCCCAATCCTCTTCTGGATCATCCAAATGCACTCTAGCAAACTTCAGACGGGCCTGGACATGTACTGGCTTAAGCAGGGGGACACGTCTGGCACTGCAGGATTTGAGTCCCTGGCGGCGTAGTGTGTTACTGATGGTAGGCTTTGTTACTTTGGTCCCAGCTCTCTGCAGGTCATTCACTAGGTTCACCCCGTGTGGTTCTGGGATTTTTGCTCACCGTTCTTGTGATCATTTTGACCCCACGGGGTGAGATCTTGCGTGGAGCCCCAGATCGAGGGAGATTATCAGTGGTCTTGTATGTCTTCCATTTCCTAATAATTGCTCCCACAGTTGATTTCTTCAAACCAAGCTGCTTACCTATTGCAGATTCAGTCTTCCCAGCCTGGTGCAGGTCTACAATTTTGTTTCTGGTGTCCTTTGACAGCTCTTT